ATTCTTTTTTTAGTTACTTGCACCATTCTGTTACTGTAGTTAACAATACATCCTTGCATGATTCATACCGATCCACCAGTAAGCCTTTCCTACAGTAAGTGTTCATTTTCGTTATTTGTTTTAGTTTTCTTTAGAAAAGTTAAAGATTAATTTGCAAACTTGCAGTTCATTTGCAAGAAGGGCAAAATTTATAAAATTGGGATTATTGAAACATTGAAAATGAACATAAATATTCCTTTACACCCTAACTAATATACGCCAGGCAGCACATCACTGTAGGATGATATGACGCACTTTTATATACTAGCACAATTTTTATCAGAATTAATTTATTTGATTGAATAAATGTATCGGATGAATGAGTGATAATTGTCTGTTTCGAAAACGGCTAATAAATAATCGCCACAATTAATTTATTAATTTCAATTATGCTTTTCATGAATTAAATTGAAAGGTAGTGTGAGCAATTTTAATAAGTATAATAATTTAATAAAAATTATGAAAAATTAAAACAAACGTTGTTTAAACTTGGTTTTAAAATAATACGAGATTTTATGTTGCATTTAATAATTTAACTACATGTTTTTTTAATATGTTCAAGTAAACGTTACAAATAGTAATAATACATTTGAATACCAATGCAAATTGCGAAAAATTAGCATGTTAATTTCCAATGTTGTTAGTACGTACTACTATCAGCGAAAAGTTATTTATTTTGTTGTTATTAAACGTTGACAATGTTGTAGGATTGAAGTTTCTTATTCTGTGCTGCCTTTAAGATAGAAAGTGTATTTTTTCCCGTAACATATTTTTACATTTAACAGAACTAACAAAACACTTTACACTTTTTCTCCAAAATGCTTATCATTTTTGGTCTGCCATTTATTATATCGTTCACAACAACTACAGAAGGCAAGTGCAATATTGATTACAATTTTCAATTTCTTTTTTCAAAAAATTAAATCACTACATGTGTGTGGGTATTACATTATATATGCTATATTTTTTATGGGATTTTGACAACTTTTTTGCAGCCGTGACGATTACTATTATCCTTTGTATTCTTTTGTGTGATATTTTAATATTTTTGTATAGCGATTTTGCAAACTGCAAAAAACTATAACAGTAGTATTTTTTTTAACTTTTTTTGCCTTGACATGGTCCCGCAGTTGTCAAGAGTGAGTATTACTGAACATGTGTTTGTTCGTAGTGACTATTTTTATTAGTTTGTAGTGCTATTTTTTTGCTACCGAGCCCCAGGTTCAGGCGTGTTTTTATGAGTATTTTTTTATAACAATAATATAATATTCATAAATGTATTTCAGCCAGCATGATTAATATTTTTTCTAAATAAGCGCAGCTGCACACTGGATTTTACGAGTTGCTTAGGATCGTACGATAATTAACGAATAGTTGCTTTATTTTACCATATGTTTATATAAATATATTATTTATTAACTCGTTTATGCTTCGGATTTCGTCTTTTTACTACTTATATTAATATATTGGACGAGGTAACGTTACAGGAATACATATATGTATTGTATTTTTGAGTGTTGGTATTCAAATGTTCACCACGTCCCCGTCTCGGATTTCCTGGTGATTTTTCGAATCGCCAGTTATGTAATCGTTTACGTCATAGCCGTACGCGTATCTGGGGTGAGGGTCGATAGGTTCGATTCGGGTTTGTAAAGCGGGTACTCCGACGGGTATCGCTGAGGCCTGAGGAGGANTTTTTCCATTCTAAAATTAATAATGATTTGATAATTATGTATATAGAATTCAACTGTAGTCCGATACAGCATTTATCGAAAAATGTAAGTTTATACAATTTATTAAAGGTATTTGGTTTTTTATTTTAGATTTGGAATGGAGATAAATTATCTCGACGCGCATTTCGGGGTAAAAGCCTTTATCATTATACCGTGTGTGCTTTTTGGTATATGCATCGCATTTGCTAGTGGTAACTATCCTGTCTAATTGTTCTAGATTAAAACATGTTAATATATGTGCATTTCAGAATCTCCGGAAATTGTCGTGAAACCGAGAAATCAGCAGGTGAGGGCCGGCGGAAATGCTGCATTTTACTGTTCTGCACGCGGTGATCCCCAACCCCTTATTCATTGGAAAAAAAATGGCAAGAAAGTGTCGAGTAAGATAGACAAGTAATAAAAAAATAAATAGACTTAACATAATTATTATACATGTAGGTACTCAATCTCGCTATCAGATCAGGGAGTTTCCCACGGGAGAGCTTCTGTTGCGTGTAGAACCCGTTCGTGCTGGCAGAGATGATGCTACTTACGAATGTATTGCAGAGAATAGCCTCGGTGAAATTGCAGCTGCAGAGGCCACGCTCATAGTTTTTGAGAGTACTGCTTTTTTATATTATTTAAAGAATACTTATTAACTAATTATATTTATTTTTTATAGACGATAAGTTACCGGCAGGATTTCCTCAGATAACTCAGTCGCCAGCCACAAATAAAGTCGTGGAAATTGGACACAGTACTGTTCTGACTTGTAGTGCCTCAGGCATTCCTCCTCCAAAAATCACCTGGTACCGAAACATGTTACCTATAGATGTTAAGAGTGAACCTCGTTATTCTATGAGGGATGATATACCAGGTAATCGTCCAATACATTGTTTAAAATTAATAATGGTGTCTTTTTTCATTTGTGCAGGTGCTCTTCAGATAAAAAATAGCGAAGAAAAAGACCAGGGAAAGTACGAATGTGTTGCAGAAAATTCTGTGGGAAGCGAATACTCAAAACCTGCATCTTTATATGTTAAAGGTAATCTAATGCAATGTTAAGAACATGTTAATATTCAATTTTGGTTTCTATACTTAGTAAGAAGAGTCCCTCCTCAGTTTTCTATCCCACCTCAAGCAGTAAACGAAGTAATGCTTGGCGCTGATTTAAATTTATCATGTGTCGCAGTAGGATCGCCTTTACCTTATGTTAAATGGCGAAAAGGCGTCCAAGAATTAACCCCCGATGATAAGTTACCCATTGCGAAAAACACTTTGGAATTGAGAAATATTAAGGAGTCGGCCAACTACACCTGCATTGCATCCAGTGTTCTTGGCGAAATAGAAGCTGTAGCAGAAGTTAAAGTACAATGTAAGTATCTCAGTAGGTATGGTTGCATTTTAATTCCTTTTATTGTTATGTTTGTTATTGTTGTAGCCTTGCCGGGTCCCCCGACTAACGTTCAAGTTTCGGAAATAACTGCCACTTCTGTACGCCTAACTTGGTCGTACAATGGTTTTGAGAGTTTGCAGTATTACGTGATCCAATTCAAGCCAAAGTATGCCAATCAAGCGTTCAGCGAAATATCAGGGATTATTACAATGTATTATTCTGTACGGAACTTGAGTCCTTACACTGAGTACGAAATGTACGTTATTGCAGTTAATAGTGTTGGTCGAGGTCCTCCTAGCGCTCCAGTAACTGTTACAACCGGAGAAACAGGTTCGAAACTTTTACAACTATAATGCATTAAATTATAGTATCCACTTTTAGTGGGTTTAATAAGCTTTTCAAAGTGAATAACTTGGTTTCAAAATCACTATTTGACTTACAAATAAGTTTAATTCATGTTAATTTCGTTACGTATTGCGCGATTATCGTTTGATAGCGAAGTATTTTTGTCCGACTTTGATGGCTTGAGGTTCCTCAGCGTTCCTCTAATTCGTATGGAAAACATCTTCAGCAGTTTATTTTCAGTAAATGCTTTCGCCAGAGAAAAGACTAAAGATTTTATTTGCATGAACCCATCAACAGAACGTCAAGGAACCTTGACGAGAAAGTCTTAAAAACTATTGGATAATTTGTGTTTTAATTGTTTTTACATTTAACTTGAGTATTTTTATAAATCTCGACGGCATTTTTGATAAAAATTCTCTTCTGATTATGCAGTATTTTTTTTTTTATAAAAGTAGGTTTCTTAGGTTTATTGGTTTTTATTTTTTGAAAACAAGTACATATTTTTGTAATTTTCATGCAAACCGTAAAAACGGTAAAAACGGACTTAAAGCTGGCCGAAATTACGATGTAAGTCTTGCACAACGGCCTAATTAGAAAAGTTCTGTATTCACGCATTAGACCTGGTAGCCTAGCACAATTTTGGTAGTATCTGTAACACGTCTTTTTAGATTCTGTCTGCCTGTTTGTAATTATTTATCTATACCTAAACTTACGCCTTGATTTGTTTTCTTCTTAATAACTATTTTATTATATAATCCAAAAAAGGTTTTAGTAGGTATTGTACTGGGTGCATTTACAGTGCTAACGAAACTGTTTTTTGTTTGACTTCTTTTAATAAATCTGTACATACACTTGGTACAGTACATTTAATTTCTAAGATGTTTTCTTGTAATACTTCTATTTGGTAGCAATGGAATCGAGTTGCAGATGTTAAGTTGTATACCAAAAGTACAAATGTAGTTAAACTAAAATTTGTAGTGTATAAAAATAACATTTGTTCGTTTTTCTTGCAGCTACACTAACTTCTTTAGGAGCCAGTAAGTTTTCATGTATTTTATGCTATATATATTTTCAACCGGGGTGCTTTTAAAAGAGTTTATAAAAAAATGTAGTGCTGACTAAATTCCAGTGTATAATAAATAAATCATGACTGTTTACTTGCTTTTTAAGATATGTAATAGTAACACTGGAAATAAAATTCATTAAATGTTAACAAAATAATAATGCATTACTTTTTCCTATAGAGCCAGGCACTGCCCCCCGTAATGTACAAGTGCGACCCCTTAGTTCGAGTACCATGGTGATTCAGTGGGAGGAACCAGAAACACCTAATGGCCAAGTTACAGTAAGACATATAACAATATTCCACTTAATTTACATATATTGATTTCACAAGAAATTATTGTATTTTTAGGGTTACAAAGTGTATTATACAACAAATCCTCAACTACCTATGGCCCAGTGGCAGTCCCAATTGGTGGACAACAATCAGTTGACTACCATAAGCGACTTGACACCTCATACAATCTATACCATCAGAGTTCAGGCATTTACATCGGTGGGGCCCGGTCCTTTAAGTCCCCCAGTACATGTGAAAACGCAACAAGGTCTATATTCTTCATTATAAAGCATATTTTATGTGATTTTTAATTTTTTTGTAATTTATAATTCGTCTTTCTTATGTTTTCTTAGGAGTACCGAGTCAACCGAGCAATCTGAGGGCGTCGGACATCGGCGAGACGTCGGTGACGTTAGAATGGAGTAAACCGTCGCATTCAGGCGAAAGCATCGTCAGTTACGAACTGTATTGGAACGACACGTATGCTAAAGAGAAATACCACAGGCGTATTCCTGTCTCTGAAACGTACGTGTTGGTGGGATTGTATCCCAACACTCTGTACTACGTTTGGTTGGCTGCGCGTTCACAAAGGGGCGAGGGCGCCACCACTCCGCCAATACCCATACGAACGAAGCAATACGGTAAGATAGGCATAGGGGAATGAAGGGTGTGATAACCTTTTTTCTTTCTTTTCCATTTTGATTGTTCACGTCAGTAATAAATATTAATTTGAAATTAACACATGTGTCGCTACTAATAACTCCGTTCTCCGTAAATAGTACGAGACGACTGAAAATGGTAATAAGAACAAACTCGAGTCGAGTTATTTCGGAAGAAGGTTTTTGAAAGTGTGTGTACGATGAGTGTGTCGTTTTTGTTTCATTACTTTTTTCTACATATATTGCATGAGTTGTACGTGTTAGTCGTTTCAGTTTTATTTCTTTATCGGTTGGTAATACTTGTTTCGTTATTATTTCTATCAGCACTGCACATCAAATGCTATGCGTTTCAATATAAATGCGTGCTGTTCGTGCACTTTTGTTGGCTTCCATATATGTTAGCACATATTACTATTTCATTGTGTCGCCCATTATGAAGATGTTAAACAATAATAAAACAAGTATGAGTGGTAGGAATTAATAAGAAATCGTTACACAATCGTTTTTCGACATCATCTACTTATATGTATTTTGAAAGTAACTGCTAAAAGGAAATAAAGGACGATGTGATTGTTGATAGTGAAACGTTTTCTTATTTTACTTAATGTAAGGAAAATTGAATTGGCTTCTGTCGCTTGAGTACATTTAATAATACATAAAATGAAAGAAAAAGAAAAAATCCTAACGCGGTCGTAGTACCGGGTGCTCCGCCCCGCAACGTGACCGGCGAAGCGGTAAGTCCGACGTCGATCTATGTGAGATGGGAACCACCGCCGGCGGATCGGAGCAATGGCAATATCGTCTACTACAAGTTGCAGCGAGTGGATGCAGGCCAATCCGACAGCGAGGCTACTGTCATTAAATTGAACGCCACGTCATTTCTTTTGGACGAATTGAAGCCATGGACTGAGTACAGGATATGGGTGCTGGCCGGAACCTCGGTCGGGGACGGTCCCGCATCGTACCCCATCACCGTACGCACCCATGAGGATGGTACGTACCGTAAAATCGTTAATTTCGTTAAGCTGTTTCGTAATAATGTGACTTATCGATTGTGTTGTAATTACGGGTATAATTTTTGTAAAGGTGTTAGATTGTTATTCTTACTTATTTTGGTTATTGTTATGTAATCGACTTACCATATTATTGCACAAAATTTATATATCTGATGGTATGGTATGGTGACTGTTGATTCTCACTTTTTTTACATAAATCTTTCTATTATTTTTTATTAACGAAAATTGTTCAGCTGTTAAACTCAAGTAATGGCTTCGTTCGTAAAGACAGAAGTGTTGATTTATTAAACATAAAAATGCTTGTTTGTATATTGATTATTTCGAAGTTTCATCGTACAAACGAAAGTGTTTATATATACTTGGTAATTTAAAATGCCTACCTCACAGTCCATTTCCAAATGAATCCATTTTATTTTTGTTTTTGATTAAAGTAGAATTTCGGTAGTGTACAAGCATTTTATCATTTAATCACTTGGAAAATAAAAAATAATAATGAATTAATCGATAAAAATGGTAGTTTTTTGACATATCCTTGGTGGTATGTGTACTTTTTGAAACTGTCTTTTTATATTGCAGCTGTCCCGGAGGATTTTTGAAGCTGGACTTGTGATTTTAAACAGTTTTTTTGCAGCATTTTTGTGGTCCGGAACTTTTCGGACGGACATATATATTTTTCTTTTTTACGTACATAATATATGTGAATATATATATATGTATATGTAACTGCTCATATTTTTTATAATCCACTAACACTAAACAGCCTAATTTTTTTCTCATTCTTTCTCTTTTTCAAAAGGTCACTACGGAGGAGTGTTAGCGGAGAAATCGTCAATGAGGTTTTCATCTTCCGATTATTGTTATTATTTTGAGTTTAATTTTACTTATTAGTGTTTCTTACAGTCGGCCCCTTTCTGATGTGTATACTTTGTTTAATTAGTTGATTTTTTTCTGTACATTAGCTACTCATGTTCACATGTAATGATTGCTTGACAGTTTTTAAACGGCACTGAACGGCGTTTGCAGTGGCATCGTTTTTTTATATACGTAAATGGCACCGATTATTATTTCTTTAAATATTTATATATCTTATAGGTA